GGCCACAAATGTCAAATAGAATTTTTGTCAGTACCTAGTTTTGAGAAATTTGACGTCAAAGATTTTGAGTTTCACATCATGTCAAGCTGTTTCGAAAGTATTTCGTTGAAATATTAGATAGCATAATTTGTATTGCGCTAATCCTCGTTGAACCGCAAGGCCTATGCGCTTCACAATCTATACTATTACCCCAGCAGACCTGAGAGCATTCTGAAACAAACTCAACTTCCTGGGAAGCATACAATGCAAGCAGCCATTTATAGGTGCTAAAACACTAACATACAGACAAGATCTTTCGCTGTCTATGGCCGGGTACCAATTTCCACCTATGTGAAGTGAGGAAAATTCGTGTACCGTGTCTTTCCCAAGGACACAACGTCGGGCCCGAGGCTCGAACCCCCGACCCCGCAACCTCACGTTTACGAGTCCGTGTACGTAATGGTTGCCTTTTTCCATCTACTCTGTTCAACATCTTCCTTAAAGAAATCATGACTGATGCCCTTGAAAATCATACGAGCGTAGTCAGCATTGGTGGATGAACAGTCGCTAGCCTAACCGCTTGATAACGACTCCGAATATTCTTACACTTTTGGTAGAGCAGATAGCACATTTTGTTTCTGACCTTGTGACTTGTGGTCTTAGTAACTGAAAACGGCCCCCAATGTCAGATAGAACTTTGTAATTGTGAAGTAGCGTGTTGGCTCACGTACATCTGTTGTCTTTTCCGCTAGTCAGAGTAGGAGGGGGATGGTTGGTCATCGATCTATGCACTATCTGTGTGTGCTTCTTTCTGTCTCTCTATCTCTCTCTGTGTGGTTGGCAGGTGTCTGGTGTGGTTTGCTTCTGCTTTCCTATCAAACATCTATCTCTCCTCTTTCTTTTTTGTGTTTGTTACTCTCTTATAACATCTCTAACCTTCGGTACTCATATGACCTTATTGTGTTGCAAGTATCGTAAATCTCTTAATAAATATGTTTTAAAATCTCTATCTTCTCCTTCTCTGATTCTCTCCTCCTCTCTCTCTCTCTTTCTCTCTCTCTTCCCCCCCTCTCTCTCTCCCTCTCTCTCTTGCTATACTCACACGAGGGTTTTTTATTTTATTTTCCCCATTCCTTCCACCTCAAACCCTTAATGGACAGAAAATTACAGAAACCACAAACCATCTCATGCCCCTGCTCTCTCCTCATCCCCATCTCCCTCCCCCTCCCTCCTATCTCATCCCCTTCCCCCTCCTCCTTTTCCCTCCCTCCTCCTCACCTCCTCCCTCCTCGGCTTCCACCTCCCTCCCCCCTCCTTCCCCCCATTACTACATTTTTTCTCAAAACCTGTGCCAGTGTCACCATCTTACACTGCTCTTTTCTCAACATTAATTCACCCATCTTTCCTTCTGTCTCTCCGTTCCTTCTGTACCTCCGTCCCCCTTTTCCTGTCTTTCCACCACCCCTTCTTCTTTCTCTCTTACTGTCTCTCCATCCCCCTCCCCCCTTCCTTCTCTCCTTCTCCCCCTCTCTTTCTGTCTCTCTTCCCCCCTCTCCTTCTGTCTCTTCCACCCTCTCCTTCCGTCTCTTCGTCACCCCTCCCCCTTCTCTC